CCTCTGGAGGCATGGTCTCCAGCTGCCTCTACTGCAGACACACGGTTTACTCGTTAATCAGTGTTTTCCACATCATCAAAACCTATAGGGCTACCACAAGAGAGAGAGATAACTTGCCTGTAGAGAGACTGTGTTGAGGTGTAGCCTGATGGAGCCCTAGAGATGAGCCAGAGTTAAAGTTTTTACTTATAGGATGCTTGGGGAAACCAGAGGCTTCTTGCATTTGTGTTGCTAGACTGAACTTGGACTTTCACTTGTTGATTGAGATGCATTCTGAACCAGTTGAAGAATTGTGTCTTGCTGTTAACCTTGCTTAGGATTGCAGAACTAGAATTGTGTGATATACTTTTCCTTCCCTACCCCCAACCTATATCCTTAATAAACTTCATAATTGTGAGTAAATAAAATTAATAAAATAAAATAAAAAAGCTATAAACTGGGAGGAAGTGTCTGCAAACAACCTATCAGACAAAGTACTAACATCTAAACTAATAAAGAACTCACAAAACTCAACAGTTATTTAAAAATCCAGAAGGAAATGAGTTAAAGACTGGAAGATATTTCCTTTCAAAGAGGACACAGCAGCTAAGTAACGTGAATATGAAAGAGGTTCCACTTCACTGGTCATTGTTGTTGTTAGGTGCCAACAAGGGGACTAAAACTCATAGCAGCCCAAGAACAACAGACTTGGATGTCCCCCTGTCCTGCACCATCCTCATCATCTGTCATGTGCAAGCCTGTTATGGTCATCACTGCGTCGGCCCATCTCATTAAAGACATTCTTCTCTTTCTCTGTTCAACTTTGCCAACATGATGTCTCTCTCCAAGGGCTGATGCCTCCTGACAACATGCCCAAAGTAAGTGAGATGGCGTTTCATGGGTTTTGCCTCTAAGCAGCACCCTGGTTGCACTTCCTTCAAGCAAGACCGGCTTGTTCTTTTTGCACTCCATGGGATATTCAACACCCTTTGTCAATATAATTCAAAGGCATAGATTCTTCTTCAGTCTTCCTTGCTCACTGTCTAACTTTCAGATGTATACAGACGTTGCTGTTATGTGCCGTTGAGTTGCCCGTGACTCATAATGACCCTATGTACAAAAGCTCTGAATTCTGCCCTGTCCTGAGCCAGTCTTACTGACTCTGACACACCTACCCCCGTTTCCTCAGTTGTTGTATCAATCCATCTTATCTAGAATCTTCCTGTTCTGTGCTGTCCCTCCACCCTTCCAAGTATGATGTCTTTCTCTAAATACTGGTCTCTCCTGGCCACATGCCCAAAGTATGTGAGATGGAGCTTCAAAATCCTAGCCTCCAAGGAGAAACTTGGCTTCACCCTCTCTAAGACAGACCTGTTTGTTCTCTTGGTGGTCCATGGTATGTTCA